GGAACTTGACCACATCCATTCAAGCTGCTTATATTGTTCCAACTTAAAAAAACATACCCAAAGCCTCGCAAACTGTTTGCTTTATTGACTTTCCAAGTAGATAACTCATCAGTTCTGTGTTAAAACCTCTCTTCTTTTCGAAAAAAAAGGTCAAAATAATCTCTTAAAACCATTGTATCGTCACACTGTATAATGGGAAAGCTGATTGTTAAATATGCCCTCGCCAAGCCCTTTTAATTTCCCTGTGCTGCTCCCCCACTCTCTGAGGGAGAGATGCACTTCCTCTTCATTAACATAGATTGCTCAGTCTGTTTTGTTTTGTTTGACTGTCAATCCACAAGTGAAGTAGCCTTAGAGAATCTCCGGTCGTAATCTGCTATGGTTTAGAAGGCTAACCCCAGCAGAGAATAATCCCATTGTGTCTGGTAAAAGCAGTGTGCAAGCTCTTTAATTGCTGTGAGCAGGGTATGAGGGGCTGTGTGAAAGTCAAAGCTGTTCAACCCTCACTTGCTTCGAAGAGCTAATCACCAAACTATGTATGGCTGCTGGTGACATATTACAGTGCTTGGGGCTAGGAGCATGGAACATAGCAGGGGTGGACCATTGAACCCTTTGTGCCTACTTTACCATCAAACAACCATAGGAATTAGGAGCAGGAGTAGGCCATTTGGCCCTTCAAGTCTATCATTCAATATAATCATGGCTGATCCTGTATCTCAATGCCTCTTGATGACTTTTAAATGTGTAAAAAAAATCTTTATGAATAAGGATGCAAATGATTGATTATCTACCATTCTGTCATTTCTTCCCAATATCCCCACATCCCTTAATGTCGTTAGTCTCCAGAAATTATTAGGCTAGGCTGGGTCTTTGTTCACTGGAGCATAGGAGGTTGAAAGGTGACCATATATATGTTCATAAAATCATGAGGGATATAGATAAGGTTAATGGTTATTTTCCCTAGGATGAGTGATTTCAAGACTACAGGACATTTTTTAAGGTGAGAGGAGAGAGATTTAAAAAAGGGCATGGCAATTTTTTTTACACAGAGGGTGTCTCGTGTGTGGAATGAACTTTCAGAGGAAGTGGTGGATGTGGGCATAGTACAATGTTTAAAAGATACTTAAATAAGTACGTGAATAGGAAAGGTTTTGAGGGATATGGGCTAGGAGCAGACAGGTAGGACTAGTTTAGTTTGGGATTATGTACGGCATGTTAGACTAGTTAGACTGTAGGGTCTGTTTCCATGCTGTATGACTCTATGACTCTATAACTCTATCGATTTCTGTCTTGTACTTGCTCAATGATTGAACTTCCAAAGCCCTCTCTGGAATAGAGAATTCTAAAGATTCACTGGCCTCTGAATGAAGGAATTCCTCCTTATTGCAGTCTGGAAGGTTAGTGGCAGCAGAATATTCTGCATTGGAGTTTAGGTACAAATTGAAATCCCTAATCTTGTCTGGGCTGCACTATGGAGGAACGGGGATAAAGCTTAGAGATGGATTGAGAGCGTGAGACAGTGAGCATGTGTCTATCTGTGAGTGGATTTGCTTTTGTATGTGTGTGAGGGGGAGCCTAGCAATTTTCCCACACGCCTGGCATGCTTCAGGACATTAGGAAAGGCCTAGCAGATGGTCAGCAGCCTGCTCTCTGGTAGAGGACTGTTGGGCATTGTAGGGCGAAAGGAAAAAAAGAAGCTAAGACATGGGGGAGGCAGAAAAAGCAACAGAAAATAACCAAGGCTGTAGAATACAATCCTCCCTATTGAGCTGCTAATTCAGATTGCACTCTGCCAAAGACTGAGGACATTGTTGCAATAAGAAAACAAACCTTGAAGTTTATTTTTGGTATTTAGTTTATCACAGCAGCTGCCAAGGGGCTAGAATATCGCTTGATAAATCGAGCACAGAGTGTATAGACTCGCTCATTAAAGAACTTCCATTGTGTAATCACAGCAGGTTTATGGACTGGTTCTGAAAGCTTTTTTTTAACACTTCAAGCTGCCTTATCCTGTACCTTTCCCTGTTCTCTGAAAACCACCTGTTCGCCCAGAAATGAGAGAGAATAAAATAAGCCTTTTTCTGGAGTGAATGCGCTTGTCATTTCCGCTTTAAAATGTGGTTTCCTTGTGACATTCTTCAAAGAGTGACTGGAAAGTATTAACTAGTGAAACGACGCGCAAAAGAAAACATTCCAGTAATAGCTGTAAATCAGGAGGTGGAAGGGAGAGAGGAACTTTTTGAAATCGCAATTATGTGGGAAGTGATACTGAGCAAACGGATGGAGCTATGGGCTAGCAAGACTCCAGATCGAGAACCTGTGACATTGGTTGTCGGAGTGAGGGGTGGGGGGTTCATCTGGGTCTGATAACCTGGGCTGGGGGCTCAAGGCAGACTGACTGACTTCAGCCAGGCAGCCGTTAGCGAGGAACAGCACCAGGAGCTGTGATTCCTGTCCCTGACCCTGTCCATTGACATCGTCGATGGATTGGAATAAATTTCATTAGCATCAGGAAAGGTTCCATCCAGGCTGGAAAGTAGCAAATATGACTCCTCTATTCAGGAATGGACGGAGGCAGATAACGGCCATCAATAAATCAGTTAGCTTGGGATCTGTTATGGGGAATCAGTCATTAAACGGATCATAGAATTCTTCCTAAGAGTTCAACCATCAGGAAGAGTCCAAATGGAAAGGGAAATCATGATTAACCTATTTATTGGAGTTCTTTTGAAGGAGTAACATGCGGTGTTGATAAAAGGGAGCCTGTTGACATTCGTTCTTGGATTTCCAGAAGGCATCTGTTTACAGTGCCATGTTAAGGGTTACTTTGCAAAGTAAAAGCTCATGATGCAGGGTGAAGCGTATGAATATGGGTAGAAGATTGGGTGGTTTGCATAAAACAGCATCCAGGCCAGGGCTAGGTCCAGGGAGATAAGACTTTAAAATCTAGGCTTTTTCCTTTTCTTTTGGATAAGGACTTTAAGATCTGGATGTTTTTCTTTTGGCTCTGTTTCTACTATGTCTTCAAATTTTTTAAAAAATTGTGGTTTTGTACTTTAAGCTGGTACCAGAGAACGGCGACTTTATACATTTTTCACTGTACTCCTGTACTTGAGTACATGTGACAATAAAATATGATTCCCATAAATCAGTCTTTTTCTTATTGGCAGGATGTGACGCATGGAGTCCCACAATAGTCTATATTGAGGCCTCAGCTTCTTACAATTTGTATTAATAATTTTGAAGAGCGAGTGAAGGCGTTGCAGCTAATTTTACAGATGACAACACATTAGGAAAGTATGTTGTGTAGAGGATATGAGGAGGTTGCAGACAGACATAGATAGGTTGAGTGATTGGCCTAAAGCCTGGCAGGTGGAGTACAGTATGGAAAAATATGAAGTTGTTGATTTAGGCAGGAAGAATGAGAGAGATTTATTTAATGGAAAGCAACTGTGTAAATCCAAGGTGCACTGGGATCTAAGTGTTCCTGTGGATGAATCACAAAACATTTGCAGGCAGGTACATTGCTACCCATATTTGAACCTGTAAAATCCCAGTTGCCCTTCAGCTCTGTGTTAGTTGACCTAAGTTGGCAACCCATGCCCATTCTGATCTTCCATCCCCTTACATCCTGCTACCTTATTCCTCTGTTGGCATCCACTTGGATATTCCTCCCTTTCCTTTGCCCCATCCTACAGGGTGTTTAGTCAGCTGCCTCCCATGGTTTGGAACTCTCTCTGTAAATCTCTGTTGACTCTCCACTTCGCTCCAATCCTCTAAGATCCTCCTCAAATCACACCTCGTTATCCCAAGCTTTTAATTCCAGCTTTGTGTGACATATGTTTTCCTTAAGCCTTTAAGTGCATCAAGGCTTTGGGAACTCTGAATGTTGCTGGGTCCACCTTTTGAAGAATGTTCGGGTTGACGAAGCTACAGTTTCAGATGGTGTAGTGTTCTTCTCTATCACTTCCAGGAGTGCTTTGGGCAAAAAGATTGGAATTGTCCTTCCAATTCCTCTTCATTATCTTTCCCAACTCCCCTGTTCTGAGGAAGGGTCACCGGACCGGAAACGTTAACTCTGTTTTTTCCTTCACAGATGCTGCCAGACCTGCTGAGCTTTTCCAGCAACTTTGTTTTCATTCCTGATTTACAGCATCCGCAGTTCTTTCGGTTTTTGTCCCCTGTGCTTTCCTCAGAATTCTTGAGGAAATTAATCAATTTTTTTCCTAAAAAGACAAATAACACCAGGGTTTATCTGTGTTAATAGTTAAAATTAAGCTGTCACCACCCAGCAAGCCATTGGCAATCTTCTTTAGAATGGCTTGTTGGTGTTCCTATGTTCCTTCCTCTCCATTCCTAGGGATGCCCATCCTGATCAAACTTCCTTATCAAGCCAAGCCTGCACGTCCCTCCCTTCCCCCCCCGCCCCCCACCTTGTCCCTCCCCTTTCTCCCCCTCTTCGTCCCTCCCCTGACTCTATCTGGTACAGGTTTAGGTCTGGGTGCAGACCTCGGTCACTGATGGTTCCTGATCTTCTAATAGTTTTCACTGGATGGAGAATTCCTGCCACAGGCCTGACACGATCGGTTCCTGAAATGCAGCAACAGCTGAGGAGGGGATGGAGAGAGAGAGGCAGCTGTATGAGCCTGGTTCCACGCCACTGTCAAACAGCTGATGACGTCCTAATGGGTGTGATATATCGGCTCAATGCATTGTGCCAGCAAAACCGTACATTACACTGTGTCAGTAGTACTATTCCTCCAAGTGTGTGCAGACTTTATCGCATCACATGTAGCAAAACTGGACATCAAATGCTATCTTGAAGATGTTTGTGATGTGGATTGGTTGACTTTCCCATCTGGAGCATCGGTATGGAATGGGAGAGGTGCAGTAATGGGACAAGAACAAAACTAATCTGAAAATGTTGGAAATAAGCAGCAAGCTCATTAACAGTTGCAAATTGGAAAGGCAGGAGGTGTTTTGGGTGTGGACACATCATTAGAACTGCAAGACAACAAATTGTTGTACCATACCAGTAATGGAGACTGATGGAAATTGCAAACAACTGATCGGAAAGATGGGAAGAGCTCATATTCACCTCCCTTTATCTGCATGCACTACCCTCTCATGGAAAAGAATGTTTATGTTTTGCCTAAAGGAGAGGGTGAGGCTGATTCAAAAACTCTCTGGCTTGACAGTTTCAGGATGATGAAAGGGGGTGAACGCCCATCAGTACTATCATGTGGAGGCTTGTTACAAGCATGTACTGAGTGCCAGACTGTAGTGTCACTCTGGCACATGATCTGGGAGTGCCGTCTCATCCCGTTTTGATAGAGATTGGTGTTTCCTACAATGTGCAATGTTTGTCTTTTCTGGAACCTATAAATACATTCAGCCCCCAAACAGTCTCTGATGCCTTTCATCTTTATCACACTGCTCACATACTGTTCCAACCCACTTTCCCTTCTTCACTAGTTAATCTTTGCCTCAATCGCTCACCGTGCATTCTGTGGCCTCATCTTTCTCTGGGAGAAGTTCCTCTTGCTCTGCCTTCTAGATCTCCCACCATGGCATTTGGACTTAACTGCAGGACGGTGTTCACTTCTGTCTAATATTTCTCATTCTTATTATATCATTCTGTAATCTGTGTCATCCTAATGAAAGCAGGTTAGGTTATTCAAGTCCTTCATGTTATGCATTTCCTTTTACCATGTGACAGAAACTCCTCTGCACCCTGTCTGAAACTACAACATCATTATTTTCATTCATTAACAGGATGTGGTCGACACTAGCTGGGCCAGCACATACCCACTACCGCTAAAGGTGGTGATGAGCTGCCTTCTTGAACCGCTGCTATCCATGTGGTGCACTTCACTGGCAGAAGGGGGTTACCAGAACTTTGAGCCAGCAACGTGATAGAACGGTGAAATATTTCCAAGTCAGGAGGTGTGTGGCTTGGAGGGGAACTTTCAGGTGGTGGTGCTTTCGTAAATCTTGTTATTGCCCTCATCATTTGAGGTGACAAAAGTCCCGGGTTTGAAAGGAGTCTTAAGAGAGTAGCTGCCGTGAGTGCATCTTGTAAAGAGTGCGTACTGCTGCCATTGTGCATTGTTGGTGAAGCGAATGAACGTTGAAGAAATTTTAGTGCCAGTCAAGCGGCTGATTGTGTACTGGATGGTGTTGAGCTTCTTGAGTGTTGTTGGAGCTGCACCCATCCAGGCAAGTGGGGAGTATTCCATCACACTGCTGAATTATGCCTTGAAGATGGTGAACAGGCTTTGAACATTTCTAGCCTCTGATCTGCTTTTGCAGCTACTGTTTTTATAATGTAATCCAATTCAGTTTCTGGTCAATGGTAACTCCCAGAACGTTAACATTGGTGGATTCAGTGATAGTAATGACTTTGAATGTCAAGGTGTGATGACTAGATTCTCTCTTGGTCCTATCGTGTGGAGGCGTTTATGTGATTGATATATTTTTGAAAAGAAGACTTGATTGGTATTTAATTTCCAGGTCTTGCAAATTACATATATTTCAAGGCATGGCTTATAAAACCATTGGAGAGGGACTCCACAGGGTTATTGATCAAAAATTAAGGACCCTTTTGTATTCAAGCACAGATTTTACAATCACAAGTAATCCCTCAAATTTCCTCAGATCAGTATATGCACCTGCAGAATATGATCCCCAAAATGCCATTAAAAGATCTTGCTTCCCAAATGGTAGAAATACAGACTTTTCCTTCCGACAGTCACTGTCAAGCAGTAGTGCTGCAAGAGTTGTGAGTTAGCAGTATTTCTTCTCCATTTCAGTGACCATGCGTCACTCCTCAGCCCTGGAGGAAAAAGCTCACCAGTAACAACTAGACTTGTTTCACTTGTCCAGAAAGACCCTTCAGTTTCCCCAATTCTCCAAAGCCTCCTTACCCTACCAATTCCTCCTCGAACCCCACCAGCTAATCCCTTTATTATGTTCTCCAGGATTTACACTCTGTGCAGTTCTGTTAACAAAGCAGATTGCTCTGGAGGGGAAAAGCTAATGATTGAAAAGTTCAAACTCTTTACAATGTGCTTTTTGCTTAAATGGCTTTTGGCTTCCTTAATTCACGCATAATGAGAAAGCCCTATCACTGCAAGATGACACCTGTGGTTTGAACTGAAATTGATAGGTGTCCATAGTTGAGTGCCTCGTCCTGTGGTTAGTTCTATGTATTGATCTTATCTGTGTTATTTCAGTTTTGTCAGGTTAAAATCAATATGGTGGCTAGTTAGTAAAGCACTGAACGATGTACCTGGAGCTATAATCAAGGTGCGCCTGGGGGTGTGGGGGAGGGTCGGGAAAACTTGTGAAAATCATATCTCGGTTTCTTTGGCAAGGCCAGCATTTATTACCCTTGAGATGGTGGTGCTGAGTTCAAACTGCTGCAGTCTAAGTGGTGTGGGATCACCCACAGCGCTGTTGGGAGGGAGTTTTGGGATTTTGACCCAGTGTTAATGGAAGAATGGCAAAATATTTGCAAGTCATGGTGAAGCCTTCTCTACCATTTCGTGGGTGATCTAATCGTGACTTTAACTTCTTTTTCCTGGCCGCTGTCCCCATAATCTCTCATCAATCAAAAATGTAATTCAGTGCTCAATAAGTTCAATGATCCAGTCTCCAAAGCTGGATGGGTTAAATGATCTACTTGTGCTCATATTTCTTATGATCTTATATCTGCTTTGGAGAGGCATATGGGGGATGTGAAGTTTCCAAAAGTGCCCACATGGATTTGGCCTTTTAGCAAGAAGAGGCCATGGCTTTAGGAGATATGGTGAATGTATGCAATCAGCACCCGGTCAGTTTATCACACAGAGGAGCAAGTCTTAACGTTGCTGATATTATTTTTTTTATCTGTTTGTCAGAATCACCGGGCAGACCCTGAGGGACTGTTTACCAAACTGGAGCGGATTGGAAAGGGGTCTTTTGGTGAAGTCTTCAAAGGAATTGATAACCGAACACAGCAAGTAGTTGCAATCAAAATCATTGACCTTGAAGAAGCTGAAGATGAAATTGAAGATATCCAGCAGGAAATAACTGTCTTAAGTCAATGCGACAGTCCATATGTAACAAAATATTTTGGATCATATTTAAAGGTAATGAACAACTTGATATGTTTGATTACAATGGAATTGTTGACGTTGTATTAAAGGAGACGTTTTGGTTCGTCATGCTTTCAGACTGGACATACCTACTGTAGAACCATTTCCTTGTAACTTCTCTTATTCTTCTTTAAATAAATAAAAACTAGGTGTGGCAGTCTCCCGAGACTGCTCCACCATTTAATGATCTCATGGCTGACCTCATCTCAGCCTCAGTTCCACTTCCCTATCTGCTGTCCTAGCCATTCAACCCATTACTAATTTCAAAATCTGTCTATCTCCTGTTTACATTTACTCAGTGTCCCAGCATCCACCACATTCTACAGTAGTAAATTTCACAGATTCCTAATCCTCTGAGAGAAGTAAATTCTCCTTATCTCTGTTTTAAATCTGCCAACCCTTACCCTAAAATGGTGAGGCCTCATTGTAGATTGCCCCACATAAGGAAATGCCCTCACTGTGTATATTTTGTCAGTCCCCTTTAGCATGATATTTACTTCAATTAGATTTCCTCCCAATCTTCTAAACTCCACAGAGGCTTAAAAAGCAATATTTCTTTTTAGAAATCGTGTTTTAGTCCTGAAGTGAACCATACGAGCAAAAGTAGACCATTTAGCCCATTGTGTTGGCTCTGCCATTCAATGAGATCATCGCAGTCTGATAATCCTCATCTCTGCCTTCCTATCTTTAAACCTTGATTCCCTTGCTGATTGAAAATCTGTCTTTCTCAGTCTTAAATATGCTTAAAAACCCAGCCTCAACAGCCCTCTGCAGTAATGAATTCCACTGATTCACTACCCTCCAAGTGAAAAATTGCTCTCATCTCTGTCTTAAATTGGCACCACCATTCTCAGAGATTGTGCCGTCTGGTCCCAGGCTCTTCGACAAGGGGAAACAATTTCTCTGCATCTACCCTGTCAAGTCTTCAAAGAATTTTGTGTGTTTCAACAGATTTTCAGTCATTCTTCTCAACTCCAATGAGCACAAGCCCAATTTATTCAACTTCTCCTCATAAGAAAATCCCTCCATCCCTAGGATCATCTTAGTGAACCTTCTTTGGATTGCCACCAATGCCAGTAACATCTTTCCTTAGATAAGGGAATCAAATGTGTTCACAGTAATCCAGCTACGGTCTCACTAGTGCTTTGTATAGTTTTAGCAAGACCTCCCTATTTTCCAATACTTCATTCACTTTGAAATAAAAGCCAGCATTGGCCTTGCCTTCCCTAATACCTGCTGAAATTGGACACGGACTCCCGAATCCCTCTGTACTGTACCTTTCTGCAGTCTTTCTCCTTTATGTAGTATTCAGCTCCTGTACTCTTCCTGCTAAAGTTACCCTCACATTTTGTCATATTGTATTCTATCTGCCAAGTTTTTGCCCACTTACCTAGCCTGTCTATATCCCTTTGCTGATACTGCATGTCATCCTCTCTGCTTACCTTCCTACCTAGTTTTATGTCATCAACAAACTTGATGATAGCAAGTTCACGTCCATCATCCAAGTCATTAATATATATTGTAAATAATTGTGGCCCAGCACTGATTCCTGTGACACTCCACTAATTACAAATTATGATTCTGAAAATACCCCCTTTATCTGTACTCTTTTTGTCTTCTATTAGTTATCAATCCTCTATCCAGGCAATATACTACCTCTAATCCATGGGTTCTTATCTTATTTAGTAGTCTTATGTACAGTACATTATCAGATGCCTTTTGGAAATCAAATTATATTACATCAATTGGTTCACCTTTATCTATCCTCCCTGTTACTTCCTCAAAGAACTATGATAAATTTTACAGACATGATTTTCCTTTCATGAAGCCACACATGACTCTGCTTGATTATATTGTGTTTCTAAATGCTCTGCTATTACCATCCTTTATGACAGAGGGTAACATTTTTCCAGTGACTGATGTTAAGCTAACTCTCCTATGGTTACCTGGTTTTGTCTCTTTCTGTTTTTGAATAAGGATGTTACATTGGCAGTTTTCCCGTCCTTGACTTTTCAGAATCTTAAAGATTTTTGGAAGATTACTACCAACAGGAACAGGAGTAGGCCATTCAGCACCTTGCATCTTGTCCACCATTCAATGAGCTGATCTGTGTCCTGACTCCATATACCTGCCTTTGGCCCATATCCCAAACACTTCTGCTTAAAAAAAAATTAACCATCTCCGATTTAAAATAAACAATTGATCTAGTATCCACATCCTAAAATCCTTGGATACAACCTATCGGACTCAGGAAACTTATCAGCTTTTACCCCCATTAGTTTCCCTGGTACATTTTTCCTCCAGTGATAGTTGCTATGTTCATTTCCTTTCCCCCTCTCTCTCTGTTCTCCCTCCCCCACTTCCTTTTAGCCCGTTGATTATGTAGTACTTTTGCCATGTTAGTATCATTTATAATGAAGACGTTCAAAATATTTGTTCAACTCTTCTCTCATTTTTTGGTTCCCCATTATCATTTACCCGGCTTCATTTTCTAAGGAGTCTATGTTCCCTGTTGCCTCTAGTTTGCCCACATAGTTTATTTTTTTTTCTCTCTATAGTATTATTTTGGTCATTTTTTGTTGGCTTTTCAAAGTTTCCCAATCCTTTCATTTATCACTAATCTTTGACATTCTTTTATATTCTTTTTCAATGTCATACTGTCCTTAATTTCCCTGGTTTATTGTGGTTGGTTATACCCTTCCTAGAATGCTGCTTCCTTACTGGGATATATCTTTGCTGTGAGTCATGAACAATGTTTTAAGCATCTGCCACTTTCATCTTTTCTTCTAATCACCATTCCCAGTCCAATCCCCAAACACCCTGCCCTCATTTAATAATAATACCCTTATTTAAGTTTAGCCAGTTACTTTTGACCAAAGTTTCTCAAAATCAAACTGATTTCCAAATTCTACAATGTTATTGTCACTGCTCCCTAAGGGATTTTTTATTCAGAAATAATTTATTAAACCTGTTTCTCTATGCATTACCAGATCCAAAATAGTCTGATCCCCGGTTGGATCCACAACACAGTGTTCCAGGACACTATCCTGAATTCACTCTGAATTCTTCCTGATTTCTTCTGCTGACTTCTTTTTCCTAATCTACATGAAAATTAAAGTCACTCAATCAAAATACTGCCTTTGTTTCATACCCCCAATTATCTCCTGATTTAGTCTCTATGCTACAGAGCAGCTACTGCTAAGGGGCCAATAGAATACTCCAATCATTGTTGTCTTCCCTTTGTTATTTCTTGCTTCCATCCATATGGATTCAGCATCTTCCAAACCAAGACCATTTCATACTAATAAACTAATTCTATCACATACTAACAAAGTCACCTCACCACCCTTCCCTTCCCTTCCTGCCTGATCTTCTGAAAAGTCTCATGACCCTGCATAGATAATTCCCAGCTTCAATCTACTTGTAACCATTGTCTCCATAATGGCTATAAGATCATGCTCGTTAACGTCTCCTTGTGCTATTAATTCATTTATTTTGTTTCAAATATAATGTGCATTTAAATAATGAGCCATTAGTTTTACCTTTTTAACTTGCTTGACCTTTGACCTGATTTGCTCCAGTTTTTTAATCCTTGTACACTCTTGTCTCTTCCTGTTGCACGCTGAGTATTATCGTCAAAATAGTTCTCAAATATGGAAGATCCTGTGCAGCAGATGTACAACTTTGAAACCCTTCCTTAGATTACAATCGTGCATGCTGATTTGGGCACCTGGTTGTCAGAAGGATGTTCCAATCACAAAGCAGACCATCAAAATTCACTGAAATATCACAAGGATCAAGGAATTAAAATTAAAAGTAAACACTCAATGGAATGGGAGTTTCTTAGAGGAGACAAGAAGGTCAAAGGGAAAATCTTAATGGAAGGGCACATATTCATAGAATTCCTGCAGTGTGGAAACAGACATCCAGCCCATTGAGTCCACACCGACTCTCCAAAGAGCATTCCACCCAGACCCATCCCCCACCCTATCCCTGCACTTCCTATGGCTAATCCACGTAGCCTGCATATCCCTGGGCACAATGGGCAATTAGCATGGCCAGTCCACCTAACTTTCCAATCTTCTGACTTTGGGAGGAAACGGAGCACCCGGAGGAAACCCACACAGACGCGGAGAATGTGCAGATTCGCCACAGGAAGTCGCCTGAGGGTGGAATCGAACCCGGGTGCCTGGCGCTGTGATGCAGCAGTGCTAACCACTGAACCACCATGCCATCCGTTCATTATGCCTACATTTGACCACAGGCTTTGGCTTAAAAACTCATTAGATGTCAATATCACCACAGTAACTTCATCTCTTTTGGAGACCTGGGACCTGTATGACTAGGGAAAACAACTGTGCATCTCCTTCAACAATCAGAGAACCCTTTCTGAAGCGAGTAAAAGCAAAATACTGTGGATGCTGGAAATCTGAAACAAAATAGTGAATGCTATAGAAACTCAGCAGGTCTGGCAGCATCTGTGGAGAGAGAAACGGAGTTGATGTTTGAAATCTTTTAAAAGTTGCAGGTTGATGGTAGATTCATACTAGAGTTTGCAATTTTCATAGGCTGCGTCATGCTGTTTCCAGGAGTCTCTGTGGGCTGCTCTTGGGTGCTTCAGCTACCATTTCTCACCAAGCGAAATAAAGGAAATTCCGTTTTTGTAGCCCTTTTCAGCATTTTGAGAGGTGTTTTAGGTCTTTAAAGCCAATGAAGGGTTTTGAAATGTAGTTGCTGTTGTAAAGTAGGGGACATGGCAGCCTCTTTCAGCAATGTTGGCGAAGGAAGAAGTATCCCCAGGACACAGGAGAACTTGGACAATGTGAAGACGTTGTCTGGCCAAGAGAGTAAACAGATTTAACTTTTCATTTGAAAGTCAGGCAATGTAGCATTTCTTCAGTACTGCACCAAAGTGTCGATCTCAATAATCTATTGAAGTGTCTGGCGTAAGGTTTGAAACTTTTGATCTAAGAGGTGAGAGTGCTACATATCTA